AAAAAAAAAAAGTGATGATGCGAAGATCTAAACGATTCTCTTCTATTCAAAAACAAAAAGTGCTGAGATAAAAATGTTTTAAAATCCTTCCCTTATTTCTAATTACTCCGTAATAAATAAATAAATAAATAGCCAATTGGTTAGCTGTATAAATTAAAATAGAAAATTAAAAAGGCGGGAAAACGTCAAAAAAAAAAAAAAAAAAAAAAGATTCGGACGTTACGTGCTTCATGCAAAGAATTGTTTCTCTTTTTTTCATCCACGCCCCCTCACACTAATTTCTCGTACATCTTGCGCATCAATGCATTTTTGTGTCTGTTTTTTCCGTATCTTAACTCACCATGTTGCTGCCAGCTAAGCGTGTTCCCTAATAGATTTGTTTGTTGACACCAAAAACAGCAATCGTGTCAATCTAATAGCGACGGTATTTCGTTCTTGAAAATGTGAGCTACTTAATTCCAGTGTAATTATTATTTAAGAAGAAAAAAATAATTAAAAAAATGTAAAGTTCATACAATCTCAAAAAGATTCGAAGTAGTAATGGCCTTTAACTTGTTTGAATTTCTTTTGAATTTTTATTTATTTATTTAACACACATTTCCATCAATTTTAATTCTACTTCTAATCACAACCTTCTGGTCGTTACATTCTACAAATGTTATGTTTTATTGTAAACAAACAGGAAGGATAAATTTATTTAAAAAAAAAACAAAAAAAAAACAAACAAACCAAAAAACCGAAAAAAACACACGTAAACATACAACATTTTTATTTACCTGTCAAGTCCTGGATCATATTTGACATAAACGGTGCCTTCATCAGTTTGGTTACGGAAATCATCCCTCTCAGCAGAATCTGCTCTACAAGTCATAACTACGTTTTCCTCGGCTGATTATCTACGCCATATTGTTTCTAATTGTCATTTTAATCAAAACAGTAAAGATCTTAATTTCTTTGTATTTATTATATTAAGTACTTTCACTTAATTTTTCATAAGACATCCTTTCTCTTTATTCTTGAAATGCAATGTTAACTTTTGACGAAGACTACCTAAATTTTTAAAAAATTTCTCGTCCATGTTAACTTCGAAACAGTCAAAGAATGTAGCAACTTGAACTTCGTAACATTTCCATAAAACGTAACAATACCTTAGACGGAATTCGTATAAAAAACAAAACAAAAAAAAAAAAAAACATTAGTCATAAAGATGGACTTTATAAGATTATATATAATTGGGTATTTGGGCAGCAATCCCTCTTTTATACAAGTTTCATTAAAGACGACTGACAAAGCACTGCAGTTTTTTTTTTCATTATTTAATTTTTCTCGTATTCTTATAATTTTATTCTTTCCTGGACATAAATTATCTAGAAAGTATCCGCGTGTCCGAGCGCTTCCAGCTATACTTTTAGCACGGACATACAGAACATTCGAAAAATTTCTACATAATTTATGTCCAAAAAAAAGAAAAAAATACATAAAAGAACGTAACCGGAGTACATTGTCAGTCGTTTTTAATGGAATCATATTTATATATATATATATATATATATATAAAAGCATCTTTATTTATAGATTAAAGTGCTCGATATCAGGTATAAAGCGTATGTAAATATAAAGTGGACATTGAAGTCAATATCCAGAGGCGACACTGTTTCCTACTAAACGCTATTATCTGGGTGTTGGCTTCAAAATTTTATATATATATATATATATATATATATATATGGTCAACATCATCACTTGAGAAGACAACTAAAGTATTGAAACAAAATGGCTATTTTTGTAGTGATTTTATAACATATTTACGTTATAATTTTCGAATAAATTATATTTTCTCTACTCTGTATTAAGCACTCTTAAGTATAGTATTTTTTGGTTATTGGAATTTATTCCGTATACACCAATTCTATACTTTTTGTGTATATATATATATATATATATATATATATATATATATATATATATATATATATATATATATAATTTCCATGAGGATAGAATCAAGGTAGAGCTCAATGTCCGGGACAGAGCAAGAATATAATATAAAAGGCTCAAACACTAATATTCACTAGGATAATTGTCATAACACAATCTTGAAATAGACCTTTGTATGTATTTAGCTTTGCGCTGTATTAAGCTGACTAAATATTGGCATATCAAAATGCAAATGAACAAAACCAGTAAACCCAAATTAAACACACACACACATATAAACAACAACAAACAGACCCCACGTATACCATCTCCTACAGCAACGTGGCGGGGTCTACGCTTCAACTTTCCAGAAATGGGACGCCATCTACTTCAGTCCAAGCCAAACCTCCTGTTACTTTCTAAAACCGATATCAATGCTTCAAGCGCACTAGGCGAGCTCAGAGTCGCAGACTACACACCTCTTATAGCTAAACACGATCCTCTAAATAGTCACGACCACAGACTCTGAACCTGCATCAATACTTATCAAGGACGGGTTTCCCTGTGGCAGAAACGCAAAAAAATAAAAGCGAGAACCCGATCTCCTGGAAATGTGCTTCCTCGTAGCACTTATCTATTCGTCTTTGCTCTGTATCGACCTCAGGACGAAGGGACGTTAATCTTCCACCGAATATCCGAGAAGATTGATAAGGTCACCACTCGGCCAGCTTTAATATCTGCAGTGATTTCAGGACCCACCATAAAAAAATCCACTCCAACAAAACCGATGTTGAAGGCAGATATTGCAGAGACTTCTCCATCGCCTATAAAACATAAAAGAACCTATCCGTCACATCAGGCGAACCACCTCCACCAAACCTCCAGCCCTGATAAATGCTTAGCAAGAGTTTTACTTCCACTAGGCACGTCTGATCAGTCTCTAGAATGATGCCAAGCCTGAGGCATACTGTAATGTACCGATACATACAATGATTTTTTAGTATGCGAAGGCAGACTGGGACAGTTTTCGATCCTACATAATGTAAGCTCCCCTGCCTACTTTCTTCAAGCGTGCTGCTTCCAAAACTGCTACCCTTTTCACTTATTGGATTCTTTTAGCCCTAAAAGAATACCAGCAAAAACTAAAAAAAGTCAACCCGGGTTCACCCCTGAATGCGCTGCAGCCATAACTCACCGAAATCACTACTTCAATATCAATCGCAAGAACTGATGTAGTTCGGCCCTCACTACGTTCAGAACTGACCGCAATTGCTGCGAAAATGTTCTAGAAGACGCCAAGTGCATCTACACACGAGCAGTCCAGACCAAAGTTGAAAAGAAACAATTTAGTTCCTATGAATTCTGGAAGATCACCAACCATAATCAGAAGTGGCTTCGAGGTTATATCTTCCTCGACAGATAAGGCGAAGCTCTTCACCCCACTGTCTTTAACGTTAGACGACAAAGACCATCCCCTCCCCAACTTCCTACAACTCACGGAGAAAATCTAAATAATATTACCATCACAGCACGTGAAGTCTCTAGACTTATCAAAGGCCTTGATCTTAAGAAAGCCATTGGCCCAGACAAAGTTCCAGTGGTTGTCCTTAAGAATATCAACCCAAAATTATCCCCAATGCAAGCAAAGTTATTCAACCCTTGCTTGAAGAAAAAAATTCCTTCCCAAGCCTGCACAAAGTGTCATGCATATGCCCGGTTTTCAAGGACGCCGGCGCGCGAACTTCCCTTCCCAGTAGAAATCCGTCATCTCGGTATCATCAATAAGAAGGCCGTCGTGCAACTAGAAAAAAACAACTTTAGCGACGTGCTAACTACCATCACTCAAAGAATCAGTGAGGGTCTTGACGACAAGCACACCTCGAGGACAATAGCATTAGAGATCTCAAAGGCCTTCAATAAAGTGTGACACAAAGGTTTACTACACAAGCTCTCCAGTTATGTAGTCATTGGAAGGGTCTTCTTGATCATAAAATCCTAACAGGTAGGTTCCTGAAATTAGTTATTTATGACCAGTCCTCCAGGACCCTAGCAGTCAATGCAGCCGTCCCCCAAAGGTCACTCCTTGAACTAGCCTTCTTTTTGATCTACAGAAATGATCTGCCTAAGAATATACTTAGATCATTTGTAAACATCTGTCGCGGATACGACTAAATAGGGGCGGGCCTCTAAAACTCGAAGATTGGCGACTAATCGATCTTGCACAAACTACCCAATGGGGTAAAAACTGGCTGGTTAGATTCAATGCCTCGTATACCAAGATAGTTACATCCCATCATCGCCGATCTGACCCCGAACTGCTACCAATCAGGATGAACGGAGGTCCTCTCGGGGAAACAGCGTGTCTTGAAAGAATGTTGGGCCTCAAACTCACACCAGACCTCAAGTGGAACTCGTACATACGACCCATTGCTATGGATGCAGGTAAAATGGTGGGATCTCTCTACCGTTACAGTAAGTACCTGGCCCCACCTGCTATCCTCTATCTTTACAAGAGTCAGATTAGGCCAAAAATGGAGTACTGTTGTCATATTTGGACGGAAGCTGTCCAGACCCCAATCTCCAGCCTTGATAGTCCAAAAGCGTCTCTGACCTCTTGTGGGTGACGAATTATTCTCCACCCTTCAACCTCTCGCACAGACGGGATGTGGCAATCCTCCCGTTCCACTTCCACGAAAAGTGGTCGGACGAATTAGTCACCGGCATCACCGAGTCAAACCTTCATGGCAAGGATACGCCATGCCACTTACATAGTATCAAACTACCCACATTACCTGAAGAAGTAACTTCCACCCGAACAGATTCTTCCCGCGAACCACTGCTCTGCAGATCCGACTCCAAAGAAGATGTTTCCTAGATTACAAGTTTAACCTGTTCAAAACTAGGATTAACAGTTATCTTCCATCCCTATACACACGCACACCGAGAGCTCCAGGGCCTTGAGGGAGAGAGACACACAGAGAGACACACAAAGAGACACACAGATAGTGAGACAGAGAGAGAGAGGGACCCCCCAGAGAAACACAGATATATTATCCATCTCACCGTCAGTACATCCAAGCTTACTTCAACTGGTATTCCGAAGCGGTCACCCATGTTGGAACTGACGAGACCAGGCGTTGCTTAACTTCGGTGATCATACGGGAACACGCGTTTCAACTTGATATGACCGTAAGCCTTTCAAATAAAGAAGACTCGAATTCAGACTAAAGCTGAGCAATGAATAGGAAAGTGTATACGGAAGCATATTGTTGTTTTATTGCGACTCTAGTTATTAAATTTATGTTATGCATATCACAGATTGATTGCTTTTGCAAAAACAGTTTCATCTGGTAAATTGTTCGACTGTGCTTTTTACGATGCGTAACATCATTTCAACGAACATACAAGCGGGGTGGGTGCAAGGGACGGATGGATTTGCATTCGTGAACTGCCTGTCAAAGCTCGAACACTTGTGAGTGCACGTGTCGACTCAAGTCTTTTTTGTTTTTTATGGCTTGATGCAAGATCTCATTTGCGCCAACATCTTCGAAAAGCTATTTTCCCGCAACCTCGTTTTGGCTGTAGATTATTACTCGTTCAATCCATCGATTGAGATTGCAGCTCAGATTGTAATTTTTAGCACACGGTATATATTCGTGTACAAGTCCACTTTACTTGTAGCACGAAGCCTGATATTTTTTGTACATGAATATTAATACCTCCTGAAAAAATTACTTGTGTATAGTTGTACTCCATCTATTTTGCATTAAAAAAAATTAAAAAATAATAAAATTTAACTAACAAGAATACAAGAACAACAACTAAAAAAACAACACAACCACAACTAAAAAAAAAAAATACAACCACAAAAAAAAAAAAAAAAAAAAAAAACAAGACAAGCACAACTAAAAAAAAAAAGAAAAAAAAACACAACTAAAAAGAAAAAAAAAGCAAAAAACAACTAAAAAGAAAAAAAAAGAAAAAAACAACTAAAAAGAAAAAAAAAGAAAAAAACAACTAAAAAGAAAAAAAAAAGCAAAAAAAAAAAAAAAAAAAAAAAAAAAAAAAAAAAAAAAAAAAAAAAAAAAAAAAAAAAAAAAAAAAGAAAAAAAAAAAAAAACAAAAAAAAAAAAAAAAAAAAAAACAAAAAAAAAAAAAAAAAAAAAAAAAAAAAAAAAAAACAACTAAAAAAAAAAAAAAAAAAAAAACTAAAAAGAAAAAAACAACTAAAAAGAAAAAAAAAAAAAAAAACAACTAAAAAGAAAAAAAAAGAAAAAAACAACTAAAAAAAAAAAAAAAGAAAAAAACAACTAAAAAGAAAAAAAAAGAAAAAAACAACTAAAAAGAAAAAAAAAGAAAAAAACAACTAAAAAGAAAAAAAAAGAAAAACACAACTAAATAAAAAGAAAAACACAACCACAAATAAAAAGAAAAACACATCAAAAAAAGTATACCTCTAAAACATTGCTATGTTTATTCCTATTAACTAGAAGATTAAAAGACTGTACAAAATCATTTATAGATACTTACTATATTAGATTGAATGTAGCCCCCAAACAGTCAATTTGAGTAATCGTCGAAGAGAAAATTTTTAAAAAGCAAACAATGTTTGTAATTACACTCCTCCTCCTCCTCCTCCTTATAATAATAGCAGAAATTAAATATGTTTAATTGTCTTTACTCAGAGTTTCAAGGAATTACATCAACTATTGAATACACTTCTCGGAAAAATATCTATAAGTCAAATCTTTTTTTCTTTTTATGTACCATGTCCTTTCAGGACGTAGGCGATCATGGCTCTCCACTTCCTCCTATTCCCTGTAGCTCTCAATAAGTTTCGTCCCTCTGTCACCTCCCCCACACCACGTTCTGTCATCCACTTTCTTACGCCCGCCAGGACAGATGTCACATAACAGCACAGTTCTCTTTTCTTTACCAAAGAAATCCTCCCGTCTCGCAATACTCTGCCCAGCTTTTGGAATGTGTCCTTAGCCATTTCAATATGTCTTCGGATCTGAGTGTCGCACTTACCGTCCTCTGTCAAAACACTTCCCAGATATTTAAACTTCCGCACCTTCAGTTTAGTGTCCCCGACTTGCAAATCACATTTCGGGCACACCCTTTGATGACCATGCATTCTGAGTCTGTCTATATTTCTGAGATGAGGTATTATGTACAGTATTTACATTAGTCGGGCTATTGTGCTCATCTTTGTCGCCATATTTGTCACAACGTTTCGGCCATTGTACGCTCCGGCCTTCTTCAGGTGATTGGAATTTCGAACTGAACGCTTTATTTCGATCATTGGGGTAGACTGTTCTAGTTCCACGTCCTTCTTAGGTTTGGTAAATTTTTATAGAAAATATGTACCAAAATATGAGTTGACAGAAACATTTGCTAAGTTAAAAAAAATGTGGAATTCATTTGGTTAGAACACCAACAGAAAGCCTTTGAAAACTTAAAACAGATTCTGGCAAAAAAGCCAATAGTACAAATTTTTGACCCTAAGAAGGACATAACTAACTACTGACGCTAGGAGATTAACAACAACTAAACACAATTATTCGAATATAGAAGGGTAGGCACTAGCCATAGTATGGACAACGGATAGAGCAAGACAGTTTTTGATGGGAAAAAAATTCTTGTTGAAAAGTGATCACAGACCACTGGAATTTATTTTCAACCCAAGAAAAGAGCTACCGAAAGTTACAACGTCCAGAATATTACGTTGGGCGATTAGACTGATGGCGTTCGACTTTGACATTGAATATGTTAAAGGGAATACGATACCGCACGTTGATGCCTTATCTAGATTGAGGTTTTATAGAGAGAAGGACAAAAACGACGAGGAATTTGAAGACACATTTTTGCACCTTGTAGAAATCGATGTAATATCTGTAGATAAAATGGCTACTGAAACTACAAATGACCCAGTGTTAAATAGAATAATGTCGAGGATAAAACAGAATCGCTGTGGAAATTGTTCAATGGCTGAAAGACCATTCAAAGAAATTAGACATAGAATGACTATAGAAAACGGGATAATATGTAATGGAGACTTGGTAGTTCCCCCAGAAACACAGAGGAAACAGGTTATAAAAAGTGTACACGATGACGTACATTGTGGAGTGGCTTTTTTAACTTAGCAAATGTTTCTGTCAACTCATATTTTGGTACATATTTTCTATAAAAATTTACCAAACCTAAGAAGGACTCCAACTCTTTTTTTTATTTTTCGGTGTAGCAACTTTTAGAATTTTCTCTATTAGTACTTTATCTGGAGAGATCCCTTCCTTTGATATTGAGTAACCCAAAAATGATATTTCATTACTGTTTGTTACACACTTTTTTGTATTTATTGTCATACCAGCGTCTCTCAGCCGGTTCAGTATATTTTCAGTTTTTTTCTTTAAATCATCTTCATTTAAATCTCCAACATATATCGTCTTGATAACAGATGGTATTTTCAACATTTCCTATTACTTTTTCAATAGCTTTTTGAAAAATTGCACTTGCCGTTTTTATGCCATACGGCATTCTTTTCCACCTTAACAGGCCTATAGGTGTGTTTATGGTTGTCACTTCTTTAAAATTTTCATTTATCGGTATTTGGTGGTAAGCTGATTTTAGGTCTATCTTCGAAAATACTTTCATTCCAGCAAGTTTATGTAAAGCTACTTCCACATTCGGAATAGGGTACGAGTCAGCACAAACTTTATGGTTCACCCCTATTTTATAATATCCACAAATTCTCAGGTCACCATCTTTTTTTTTTTTTTTTTTTTTTTCAATACCACAATGGGTGATGCCCATTTACTTCCTCCTGGAGGGGCAGGTTCTAATAAGTCTTCCTTTATTAGCTTTCGCAATTTAGCTATTACCAACGGTAATAAATGCACTGGTATTTTTCTCGCTTCGTAGTAGGGGGGGGGAAACATCTTTTAATTTCAGGCTAGCTTCATAATTTTTTAATTTTCCTGTTTTTTCTTTTTCTATCTCAATCAACTTCGTTGAATTTATTTTTAACACGTCATTCCCCAGTAGTCCATGCGTTTTTCGGCAATTTGTAACTATAATGGGTACTATTTCATATTTTCTTTTAATTCTATTGAACCTTCAAAGTAACCCATAATTGCTATAATCGAGCCATCAAACTGACGTAGTTGTACGTTGGTAATTTTTTTAAAAACGGTTTTCCCATTTTTTCCCACAAATTTCTGGGTACTATCGTGACGTCACTACCTGTGTCGATTTGCATTTCGACAATACAGTCGTTGATTTTCACTTTTATTTTTGTATATTATCCTTTTTTACATTAAAAATCTGTCTATTTTCATCCTCTACTCTTTCCACATTTTTCGTTTTACATACTTCTTTGAAGTGATTTTTTTTTAAACACGTCTTTCCAAAAGGCTGGACATTTTTCTTTTTTCATTTCATGAATTTTTCCACAGTACGCACAATTTTTTCTTTTTGTTTGTACCGTATATGTTTCAGCCATTATTTCTTCGTAGGATTTATTTTTATTTTGGTTGTAGGTATGTATTAATTCCTGCTGTTGTATAAATTCTATACACATATTCAAAGGCATATTTGTAAGTTGTAACTGTTCCATTAACTTATATCTATGTGCCGAATTATGCATACCTTCAATTAGTCTTAGTTTGATTAATTCTTCTTCCGTTGTCTGATCTCCTGTTCCTAGTTTTTCGATTTCACAGTATTTACTCGCACTTCTTAACCGGTGTAAATATTTTACTATCGGTTCATCCACTTCCTGCTTCATTGCCATAAACTTGGTCCTTTCTGCAATCACCAGTCTTTTCTTTGGCCTCATGTTTCCCTTAATAACCTGATTTATTTTTTCGAAAGTCATTTCTTCTAGTTCTCGAGGGTAAACCATTGTAGCAACCTTCATAATCGCTTCACAACCAGCGGTAGCCATGAACAAGTCAGTGATTTCATTTTCCCCTCCTCTGTTTTTGTTGTCTTTCATCATCTTGCATTAGCAGCAAAGCAACGACGTGTCTACGTACTCTGGGTCTTCAAGGACCAAAGAGTATCCTATCGGCGACGCCATTGTTGTGTCGTGTATACTGTTAAGTAAGCATTCTACCTCTGTTCTAGTTGGTGTCCATGTATCATATGAGCTACTTGCTCATATGCAAATTATACTAATTTGCATCTCACTAC